CACCTGCCCCTCCTGACGTGCTTTCAAAGGCAAAGGTTCATAAACATCATTAGTCTTCTAAAATGTGACGAGTTGTCGATCGGTAATTTGAATAATTAGTTCTTTTGAAAAGTCGGTTTCTCAGACTTCATGCGGTTCGTTGTTGAATACAGTGATTTCCAGTGTCATTGGTTATGCATTCCTTATTCTTCGTATGGATATTCTACTTGATGAGACTGAATATTAACTTTTGAGAATGTTGTCAGCTACAGAGTTTGAGATGTTGGGGTCATTCAGTAGATTTAAAAGCAGCATTTGCCAGTGAGTGATATCGTTGTCATTATGCAGTCCACCTCTGCTGTCGTGATAAATTTATTATAGCAGTAATTATTGTCGTTACCAACATGTAACAAGGGTGGAATATAAATAGTAGACTAGTGCGACAACCAGCCCTGAAGTATTCACCTGTTTCGATTGTGAATCATTTGACACTCAGCTAAACTCCTCTCTTACATTAACTTTCTTGACGCGATCTACTACACTGATCTATGCAAATTGCCTCACAGTCATTCCAGGGTATATTGTATATTAATAATAATAATAATTTACTTTATTCCAAAAACAGTACTTAGAGTCCAGAATGGAATTTTCAGTATTTGTCACAATATTGCATCTGATTTACTCAAAATATATGTAAAATTAAAAATTAGAACAAAATTAATCGGAGGAATTTGTCCACATTTACGACATAATAATAATAACAATGAGTTTGTTTCAAACGGTATTGTCGATTCAGTTCGGAAACTTTAGCATGTTATAGATTATTGGGTCTAATGTTCTGTTGATATGGTATAGTGAGGGGAAATACAGAGTTAACAGTCATAATACAGCTTAAAATTATGTCCACACTTATGAAAAAAAAATAAACAAAACGAAAAATTGAGAGGATTATAAATATAAGAAATTCAATAACAATAAATAATGATGCTTTAAGGGTAAAGGAAATGGTTTATTTAGTGGTGCTAAGAAGGTTAGTTAGTTCATGTCAGACAGTATTTTCATCACATAAAGTACGTGCTAAATATGGTATAGTGGAATTTTTATACTTAGACGTACGTGCATAAATTCTTCTGAAATGACTTCTTTTTTACCTGAGGAGACACAAGGTTGGAGCTGCGGGTAGAGTGGGTGCTCAGAGTCTGACAGAATTCCTTTAGACAATTTGCTGCATGACATCAAGTGCCTGTCGGTGACAATGCCAAAGATATGGCCCAATGGGATACCACTCGTCCTACTGACAGTCTTCAGAGTTCTACGAAGTATGACATAGTCCTTTTTAAGCAATCCAGGTAAGAATAAGGGTGAACAGTAAAGAAGAATAGGTAAAATACACGAGTTGATAAACTGTAAGAGGAGTGGTTGAGTTATGCCTGAGTGCCTTAACTTCTTAATGTAAAAAGTCAAACGAAATATTCTTTTAGAAATCGCTAAGCTATTTTCTCTATTTGGGTCAGCAGACTCCTTTAGCCTACAAAGTTTGTTTCTGAGTGAGTCTGTAGGTTTTTCAAACGCCACCTTAATCCCAGCTTTGCTAGAAATCCTACATTGGGTTTCAAATATCCCTTTTGTTATATGGTAAAACTGCAGATGCCTTAAATTCTTTCTTATATACATTGTAGTCAATAGTCCCACTACTATTATTTTCCCAATTAATTTTATGAGATATTTATTTGGCACCAGTACTGCTTCTATCTTTTTCATTTCATTATTTTGGCTTTCTGAAGTGCTACTTAGAATTTTCACTTAATTAATTCTTCATCCGCTGATGTGATGATTCTGATAATTTTGATGGGAACGTTATCACAGTAAGTCCAGGGTGTATCATATTGTGTTTTATGAAACAGATCATTATTCCACATGGTTCATGGTAGCCAGTAGTGGAATCCAGGGTGGGTATTTCGTCCAATTTGGGGAACATCAGTTGGATGTGTTATGGCGTCCACACTGAAAGTTGAATTTAGCGCACAAAGTTTCAAACGTGGGAATGAATGTTTCCGAAGCCGGATATGTTAAAAGACGGCGGATATCAATCAAGCCAAAATTCAAATCAGCTCGAACAAATTTTTACTACAGTATTGCATCCAGTTAGTATATTATCAATAAATAAAATTCTACATAGATTAAGGAAATCTCAGTTCATTATGACAACAACATATTGGTATGTCGGTAGCAAAGCAAAAGTTGAACAGAATGTTCGAAGGTGTTAGAAAAGCAGGTGCTGTCATATTTACAGGCGTAAGCGAGAGAAAGAAACAAAGCAGCACATAACGGGAAAAAAAGGAAAAAAGGGAGAGAGAGAGAAAAGGAAAAGAAAGAAAGAAAATGTTGTACCTATAAATGATATGAGTTGGAAAGACGAGGTCCAGTTGTTCTACTGACTATTTAATGAATTATAGGTGTCACGCCTAGTGCTTTCTTTATCGCACAGGACACGAGCTAAGTAGGGTATGGTTGAGTTTTTGTACTTGCTGGTGCGAGCATATAGTTTTCTATATAGGCTTCTGGTTTTGCCTGATGATATGTAAGGGGAGAGTTGTGAGTGAAGAGGGTGGTGTGAGTTAGATGAAATGGACTTGGCCCATTTTTCACATGAGTTCATGTGCCTGTCAACCAGAAAATTAACAAGTTGGTTAAGTGGCACGTTGCTTACCCTGCTGACAACCTTTAACATCCTGCGTAATATGTTATAGTCTTACTTCAGTAGCCTGGGAAAAACTAAGGGGAACAATAGAGAATAATAGGCAGAATGCGAGAGTTAACGAATTGTAGGAGTAAGGGTTGGGTTATACCAGAATGTCTTAACTTCTTGATGTAGAAGGTAAGACGGAATATTTTCTTAGAAATCGCCAAGATATGAGACGACCAGGAGAGATCAGCAGATAGAATGACGCCTAGGTATTTAATTTCCGACTTGGTCATATGCTTTTATCTATTACGTAATCTCGACTTAAGTGAAAATTTATCTATGGTGTGCAGAGTATGTTTTCTGCAGGTTAAATTTTGTGCTTAGAGGAAACTGTGAGATTGAATTTCATTCCAAGTGAAATTTTGTCTACTTGTCTCCTCTCTACTGACAAATTTTCTCAGTAGTCATTTTTTAAATGAAAAGTTCGAAAAGTTTAAAGTGATCATCCTTAATTCCGGTGATATTGTGTTGTCGCATACTTTATCATCCTCATTACCAGTTAATCGAACATTAATTTTAATGCTGTTTTATTCAGTTCTTCTGCAATCTGCGTAGTCTTGCTGGCCAGCTAGCTAACGCCGAAATGCGTATGGAAATTCCATATGCTTATCCTATTGCTTTCATTGAAAGAGTACACTTTAGCCGATTGGCTTTCCGAAGACTTACACGCCGGCGTTAAATGTCGTCGAATTATGAAAGTAAACTTATCTAATACAGAGTTACGTTTTGCCACAGTGCCCAAGTACTACACTTACATAAATGATACTTATGGTCCTTCTAAACGAAGACTAGTCAACAAGCTCACATGATTCCAATTCATCTGAATTTACTAATTGTATTTTCGTTTGACAAATTTAATGTACACACACAAACAAAACAACCATATATATGTATGCGATTGTACAGCTATGAAAATGAATTCGCCGGCGAAAAGAGACTTTTCGCTGAACTACTTACTGGTCTTTTGTCTATTAATGTTCGAATGGGAATTCTTCATGGATTCTAAGCATCTCGAGGACCGCAACACATCAGTTCACAACAGTTTCAAATCACCAAGCTTGCTTGCCCTGTTGTCAGAAAGCTGATAAATTAAATGTTTTGCTCAACCATCCCACATCCTAGACAACTACACCAATCAGCATTCAGAAAACACTCTGTATACTTAAACTATTTATGCTCTATTATCATCATCATCAACAGAACCCACCTGTCTGTTTAAAGTGTACAATCAACACAGAAAGTGTTTAAATTAAAGGATAAAAATCAATTGTAGATTCCACATTATACAAGTAAATAAAAATTGAATATATTTAGGAATGTATGTGTATTTCCCTTGTGTCTGTTTTATTTCATTTCTTTCACCTTAACCAAAACAAGGGAATTCATGACAGTGAATAAGATTTGACTAGGTGGATACGGCAGTTAGTTTAAACCTAACTCATTGAATGACAATTTTAACAAGATGTAAAGAGTTAGTGGTATTCGTCGTGTATTTGTGTGCAAGATGTGAGCCTAGAATGAATAAAAGTTACCAAAAAAGAAATTGATATTGATATTTAGGCGGAAGCCCAAAATCCTTTCTTTTAAACATTAAAACAATCGATATTCATACATGTCTTATGTTTGACAGATTCGAAAGTAAAACTTCTTATTCATTTGAGGTATTGTTTACTTTGTTGACTAAGGCTCTGATTATTTAACAGATATCCAGTTAAAACATTCTGCAAAATCAAATATTTTTGCGAAAAAAAATAATAATAAAGGAAGTGGAAAAGGTCTGGAAAATTTCAAAATAGGCACCTAGATAAATTAATAATAATTGTTTAAATGATAAAGAATTTAAAGAAGATTGGATTAATGAACAATTGGGTATTCGTTTTAATTGGCCCACCTCAAGGTCAAAACAAATGATGTATTCACACTTGATCAATCAGTAATGATTAATCATCATTTTTTTTATAAAATGAAATACCCTGTCTTGCTCTTTTGAATATCGCTTCTGCAAAGTTGGTTAAAAAGAAATAGAAGACACACATTAAAAAACATTTTAAAATAAATTATTGCCTAAAAAAAGTAAATTAAATTCGTTCATCGACAATTGAAATTCGAATATCGATTTTTGTTTTAATCAAATTGTCCAAGGTTAAAGGAGAAATCAAAATACGGATTAAAAGTGGATTATATAAAGTTTAAAAGTATAATATAACTATATACGTATCTTAATTAGTTAGAAAGAAAATTTTAAAAAATAATAGTAATAATTTGTTTAGCCTGCTCATTTAGTACTTTTCCGTTTACAATTTCGTCGTGTAGGTTTCCTCCATGGTGACTGAGTTCTTTGACTGTTTGTTGGTAAGGCGGTAGAATTATCTTGCTGCTGCTGCTGTTGTCGTCGCTGTTGTTGTACAGTTCGATTTTGTTCCGTAGTATTACTATTATTATTATGCGTTAAATTGTTACTATTATTATTACTATCATTAATATTGATATCACCATGAATAACAATCATTGAACTAGTTGTCGGCATGAGTAATAACTCATTTTGATTCTCATTCATTCTCATTCTGTTATCATCACCACCTCCTGTCGCTGCAGCTGTCTGATTCGATGTTGACTGTTGCAAGGGGGAAATGGGGTCATTATCATTACGAAGGTGTGAGCAACAAGCCATCATTGTTGCAGTAGCAGTAGGGTCTACTGTCATTGTTTGTGATCGCATTGAAGAACAGTTCTGTGTTACATTATTAGCCTGATTAACTTGACGATTATTTGTATTACGTTGACCAGTGAAAAAATTTGCAGTCCCATAATTATTTTCATGAAATGCTGGCGCTGTTGTATTCACAGGCAGGTTTTGATCAGACGGTGTTGGTTGTCCTGCATTGTGTAGAAAGAATGTACCGAACGGCGGATCTTCAAGAATGGACACATATTAGGAGAAGAATAAATAAAACATTTTAATATATTATTAATATCGTTAATTAATATTATTGTTATCATGCATAAATTAGAATAAACTGAAATATTTCGAAGAAACAGCAACTTAGCCTCACATCTTCTTAAACTGGTAAGAATTCATTAGCTGTCTGATGACATTCTGGACTCATCTTTTGTTGATGATTTGTTTTCTGTTGAATAACGTGTATCCAAAATACATGGACTGCACGTGTTTTATACATGAATGAGAATGTATTAACTGTGATTAGAAAGGGAGATTCGTAATATAAATGTATTGGTGAGTTGTAGTAATAATAATAATTATTGTCCCTGTGTGAGTTTGTAGGTTTAAGTGCGACCCTAATTCCTGCTTTATTTAGAATCCTACGTAGTGTCTCAGATGTCTCCTCTTTATATGGTATAACTGTAGATGACTTATATTCTCTCTTATTTATGTTATTATTACTAGTTTCACAATTCCTTTTATTTAGCTTTTTGCCGTTTTCGATCTTCCTAGTGAATTTTAAAGGATAGTTATTTAACACCAACGCCTCTTCTTCTCTCTGTTTTATTTCATCATTTAGGTCTTTTTCGTGCTACTTAGTGTCATTGCTCGGTTTGTTAAACACTTAACAAGTAAGCCTGCCTTAACAGTTAAAGGATGAGATGAATTAAAGTCTAAATATCTAATAGAATGCGTTGGTTTTCTATAAACATTAGTGTGTAGTTTGCCTTCTTCTATTTGTTTTATTTTACAATCCAACACCATACCTAATTCTCCTTGTTCATTTTAGGCTTCAAATGTGAATTTTATTCCCTCCACTACTGAGTTTACATGTGTTAAGAAGCTAGAGATATGTTCTGTTTTTAACACTGTGAAAGTGTCATCCACATATCTCCACCATATTTTTGGAGTAGGATTAAACGTATTGAGTGTCATATATTCCCAGCTATCCACAAATATATCTGCTATGATAGGGGATATTGGTGATCCCACTGCTACGCCTTCTGTTTGTCTATATATTTTACCTTGGAATTTAAAGATAGTAGATGTGAGACACAACTGAATCCCTAAAATAATTTCTTCAATGGACAGCTTTGTCCTATGATTGAGTTCAGGATCCGCAGTTAGTTCTTTTTTAACTGCTTCTAGGGCCATATTGACTGGTATATTAGTATAAAGAGTGGTTATATCAAAACTAACCATTGTTTCATCATTCTCTAGCTGAATGTCATTTAGTTTATTTTTCATCTCAAATGAATTAGTTAGTCTAGCGTTTGAGCGATTTCTAATGGGGCATAATATTAGAGCTAAGTGTTTTGATAATTCATAAGTAGGTGTATTTCTAAAATCTACTATTGGTCGTATGGGGTACCGTGTTACTTATCATTCCTGGTTGACAGTCTGATCTAGCCTATCTATCAAAGAGGACAGCTATTGATTGATCAAAGTCTAAAGTGGCTTGTTGGAAACGCTTTTCGTGATGCGCCGAGTCTCCGAACTGTAAAGAAGCTAGAAAGTGACTTGACATTGGTGATGATAAACTGGATCATGTTACTTATGGTAAATGCATCAGATTTCCATACTGATTTCAGATAAATGATGAACGTGTATGTTGCTTTTCAGACCCCTAGCTGACTTTGAAATCCTCACCTATAAATGATGAATAGTTATTCTGTATTCGTTTAAATCATTACACTAAGAAAATGTGTGTGTGCGTGTGAAGAACAGAGTTTTGTCCTGTGAGTAATTATGAGTCAAAAATATCATTAACTAGTGTGATGAATAGGTTAGTCAGTATCAGTCCATTTGTTATTATTGTTCCCTTGGGTTCCTAGTGTAACATAGGGCTTCAACTACACGTCTCCACTTACTCCTGTCTTCTGCTGTACTTTTCACCTGCATCCATCCATGTTAGTCCATACTGTTTCAACTCCTCTTCACACGATCTCCTCCATGTCACCCTTGCAACGACGAAACACTCGCCACTTCCCTTTCGGGTTCCACTCGAGCACTGGCCTGACAAGCGATGTCACTCATCCAGCGGCCTCCTCAGCGAGTGTCCAATCCATCCATCTTCACTTTCTCCTGCATATTTGTTGGGCGATTCGTCCTTGTTTTGTTTCTCCCCATAGTTTCTTGTTGGTTCTTGTTCTTTCCGGCTATCTGATCTTCAGTATAGAGCCAGCGAAGACAGTTGTTGACAAAGGTCTGCAACAGGCTGTTGGAAATATTCTTTGTGACCCGCCGCCAACAAGTTTCTGATCCACCCGTATAGAAGAACTGACTGACTGACTGACTTGACGTCGTTTGTATTGAAAATCCGAATCATTTTGTTGTTGATGCAGGCTGAGTTGAGTGACAGCGGAAGATTTCCAGATTGGTTGGTTTCAGGTTGATGAATGTGTTTCTCGCCTTCCCGATTCTCGATTTGACATCCTCGTCCATCCGTTTCTCCCGTAGCTGAGACAATGCTCCCTCCCTAGATAAGTGAATGAAGTAACCTCTTTCAAATGCCTCTCGTTGATGGTGATTGTCGCTGTATGTTGCTGCTGCTGTTGTTGTTGTTGTTGGTTGGTTATTTTCACAACCTCCGTCTTCCCTATGTTTACCTGGAGTCCTGTCTTCTCTGGCTGCTTCTTCGACCAGGTTGTCGGTTTTCGCTTGTAAGTCTTCAAACATAAATCATCCACACGTGAAATCCAGGTCTTCTAGGTTCTTCACGTCGGTCAGGACAGGATATCCCTGTCTTTTCGTTTCCCACTGTCTGACGCATAATCCAGTCCACCACAATTAGGAATATCATTGGTGATAATAAGCACCCTTGTCTGACTCCTGTGTTTACTGCAAACGCCTCGGTGAGTTTTCCGTTGTGGATCACTTGACATATGCTGTTGTCGTACAGCTGTTGAATAAGGTTGATGAATATTTGGGGTACTCCGTAGTACTGATTGATTGCTATCAAATAAATAACTAATTAGTTATACCACAGCATTTCTAGCAGTTTTAAAGAAAATATAACCTTTTAGACATGCTATGCATCACTCTAAAACACCAGCTTTTAGTGAGTACATCCTGTGTTTAATTAAGTTGTATGCATGTCCAAACCAAGTTCACTTATAGCAGTTTGATATAAAAATTTGGGCATTGGTTATATGATATTCATTATTGTAAACAAAACGAAGTTTTTATTTTTACTGATAAGTGGCTATTGGATGCTGCTAATATCTTTATAAAAGTAATATCATTAAACCAGAATCTCGGCTATTATATATAACCACTTAATCATCGTCCTCCCAGCATCCAGTTTACTTCGGAGGCAGAATCAGACTTCGGTGAACTACTATTTCTAGACTGCCTAATTAGAAGAACGTGGAACGTGGATATTTTAATATATCTATATATTCAGGAAGAAAACCCACTCCAGCAACTAATATTTAGACTTTGGATCATCACACCCCATCACCGCAAATGTGTCAGTTGTTTCAAGTCTTCTTAGACGAGCACACTCTTTGATGTTAACGAACGAGGTGGAGAAAGAAGAAGAAGAAATAGCAAACATCACTGAGATTCTCAAGAATCAACATTGACATGAAATATGGTTGAAAAAAGGAATTCCGAAGACATCGGCGTCAAAAACTGTCATTCTGCATGTAGATTACAAACGTCAGACAATATCAGAAGAGTAATCATTAAGCAGTACATGAGAATTTTCTTCAAAACATCAGAAAAACACACCGCAAAGCAACCTTGCCCATGTAAAAGATCAAATCCCTAAGAAGGATTCTCAATCTAATTTTGTCTACAAAATAAAATGCTTGGAATGTGTGGTGCAAGATATACACTGGACAAACAACACCAAAGAGAAATCGAGATCACAAGAAATGAACGCCGTAGAGCACAGAGAAAACAGAGGTGATGAAGATTCCTGGAAAAGAACAACAACAACAGACAACAATCAGCATAAATGGGAAGAACCTGAAAGAAACAACCTCCTTTAACTACCTACTTGGGAAGCATCGTTTCAACTACAGGTGGAACTAACGAGGATATGAAAGCAAGAATCGGAAAAGCAAGACAAGCTTTCACTACTCTCAAGTCTGTGTGCAGGAGGTCAACAACTCTCAGCATCAAAATGATAATAAGATCCGGATTTTCAACTCCAATGTGAAGTCAGTCAGTGCTACTCACTATACGGATGGATCAGAGACTTGCACTGCGCGTCATAAAGAGCATGTCAGTCAAACTACAGAACTTCATCAACAGCCAGTTGTCTTCGCTCAATACTCAAGATCAGATGGCCGGCCGGTCAGAAAAGATCAGCAACAGAGAGGGATCTCTGGCAATGAGCGAACCAACCAACACAGCAGGAACCAACCGATTGTGAAACAAATAGGCAGGAAGAAATGGAGATGGATGGATTGGCTGGCCATACTCTGAGGAAACAAGCCATCAAGTGAGTGACATCACTAGACAAGTCATTGTTCGAGTGGAACCCAGCCGAAAGGGAAGCGGCGGCGAGTTGGTGGTTAGTGCAAGGGTGAGGGTGACTTGGAGGAGGTCATGTGAAGAGGAGATGAAAGCGTGTGGGCAGACTTGTAGCCAGGTGAAGATTCTATCAGAGAACCGAACGCAGTGGAGAAGCCCTATTTTCCTCTAGGAATTAAAGGAGACAATAATAATAATAGCATCTATTCGACCACCGAGAAATCCAGTTGAGCCACAGAAGCTTGAAAAGTCGTCAGCCGTAGGTCTACACGCTATCAAATCAGGTCGCAAAATTGACTTTGACAATATTGACGTAATGTAATAATAATAATATTTATTTATAAAATAATACATACTAGAGTTAAGCCTGGTGATATCTAATTGAAAACAATATTGAAATAATCCAGAAAATTTTTTAGAAATCGCAAAGAACTTCTAATATCAGAATCACTTCATGTCAAATGGAATCCAAATTGTCTGAATAGGAATGGTGGACTAAAACAGAATTCGAGCTGGTTACAGCACTCTGCTCTCCCATGAAATGACAAAATCAATAGGAATGTAATAAGCAGTTTCCTGATGTAAGCACATGCCGCTTTTATAACTTTATACGCTTATCAAATCCAACAATCTACACACATGGTTTTGTTATCTTTACCGATTGGCCAACTTGACAGCGTAAAAATTACCCGAAGTTGATAAACGATGGTTAAGTTTATATATATATATATATATATATATATATATATATATATATATATATATATAATTTGAGATTGTGGTTTAATGATACTACTTTGATCAAGATATTAGCGGCATTAAAAAACAAAAAACAAAATCGTTTTGTTTTTCGCTTATTGTGAAATACAAAAACTTTTATAATAATGAAGGATGGATGTTCTTCTTACAAAAAAACAGACGGTACCTTAAAGCGAAACATCTATAGGAAAGCGACATGGAATGGACAATACACCCACTTCCATAGCTTCATACCTATACAATATAAGCGCAACCTAATTCGTTGCCTTAGTCATAGAATCAGAAGCATATGTACCGAGGACTGCATTGAAGATGAAATAAAAAATCTTACAAACGCCTTGCTACAAAACGACTATCCTATCAACTTTGTAAAGAAGTATATCTATGAAATTACACACAAAATTAAGCGAGACACAGTAAGTAAGAAAAAGCTCTACTTAAATTGACAATTCAAAGGTGATATATCCAGCGACATAGTAAACCGTAGATTAACAAGATCAGTTGAAAGAACTTTCAGTGCCGCAAAGCTGCATGTCACTTTCTCAACCAAACCGATATTGACACTGTGCATTAAAGATAGATTACCCAAAATGGCGACATCAATGTGTGTATATAAATTCAACTGCTCCTGTGGAGCTAGTTATATAGGTCGTACCCAAAGGAATTTATCTTTACGCACTCGTGAACATATTCCTGTTTGGCTTGGGGAAAGAGCGACCAAATCATTAAATAGTGCAATTCTGTCTCACCTAGTGGATAGCGAACACAGCATCAAAGTAGATGAGTCATTTACAGTTGTGTATCGAGTACCGAACAATCTCCCCAAAGGCACACGATTACGCCTCCTAGCCATAGCTGAGGCTTTAGAGATTAATAGAAAAAGACCAGATTTATGTGTACAGAAAAAACTTATTCACTCTCTCTGTCTGCCCTGGTCCACTATAAGGTCACCAGGATCATAATTTTCCGTATTACTATTACCATTATTATCATTTTGTGATATCATGTCTTTATTATGCATTTCTCCACCCAGCTTATTTCACCTCATTGTTACCCTTAACTTTGTCAACCTTTGTGATTTTATACTAAGCCTACCAATTCTGTAACATATTATTACAATTTAAAATTTAGCCTCTTTATTTTATCATTAGACATTATCGGTCAACCCTCACATTCAGTGTCCCCTTTGTTAATGTGTGTTTGTATGTATTTCGTGGTTATCGCATTTCTCTCACCCCAATGACACTTGTATTCTGTTGACTATAAAACAGCACTATATCGCCCATTTGTTCATTCACACTTCATCACATTTTTTCTGACTATACACCCTAAACACATTTGATTGATTATGTCAACTAATAGACTATCATCTCAACTTACACATACACCCCAATACAGTTTCTGATATTATTTTCATTTCCCTTTATTGGCTATATGTACTCTATATTATTCATGGATTTATAACTGTAGAGCCTGAAGAAGAAGAAGTTATCGAAAACAATTGTTCACTCGAAATCTTGTTTTTATAATAATGAGTCGATTCTGTGTGTCAAAAAACTGACAGTGATTTACATAGATTATAGGTGAGAGATTTTTATCAGTACCATGTAAAATTCCGTAAAAATTCATTCAATTTTAATGTTTTAATTATGTCTCCAAACAAATATTTTTAGCTCTACATCGATGTTCAGCATATATATATATATATTTACAGTGTGTAATAACTTGATCTTCAGAAGTATATGTACATATTTAGTTAAGTGTTGTGGCTTCGTGGATAACGCTTTGACACTTGGAACGGTCGATGCTAGGTTCGCGTCTCACTGGAACCTAAATCACACATAAGGGATGCAGACTTACTCGGCTGATGTGTGTCAGATAGGCGGAAACAATGCGTCGTTACGAGTTATTCATACTCGCCACCCCCAATCAAGTATTATTGTGGTGAGAGCTGCCTGCTAGCCAAAGTCGGTAGACAGTAATTGACGTCAGTGTTTATGTCCCCAATATTGGTGGTGAGAAAATGAGAACAAAGGCTTTGCGTAGGTGGATACAGTTAGCATATGGATGATCTGACACAGTCACAAAGAGATGCAAGGTAAACTTTCTGTGAGAAACAACCAATCAAAAGACTGTATTTTCTACTAACAATAATCTACAATGATGTACATTAAAATCTATAAATATGTGTTGATTTTCCTTAATAAAGGATCTGTTGCTTGGCCCTTGTCTTCTGTTGTTACACTACTACTAACAGTCAACGACTATATGAATTTGCCTTACTCCAGTCTAAATACAGCACAATGAGGTGGACAGTGGTAAGAGATCTTGGTAACAACTCTTTTGAATTGCTTTTTATTTTGTTTTGATGACTTAATTTTGTCTCTTTACCTGTTCTTTAATTGCTTACAATTCTTGTATTCATTTAGAACTTTTACGTAATTTCGTATTATCTACTTTGTTCCTATGTGCATCCTGAGTAAAACTCACTCATCAAACTATTCATATTATTACATAACTTCTTTTTGACAACTGTTTGTGACCACTCATCACCTCTGTTACTACCCTAATTTCACTAACACCTAATTTTCTTGACTGTTTTTGTATTATGTAACTCCAATTACCAATCTTCACCTGTTTAGTTTAAATAACCATAACCAATTGTATTTTTGTTTGACAAACTTAACGTACACATACATACAAAATAACACATATATATTTACGATTGTACAGCTAAGAAAATGAATTCGCCGGCGAAAAGAGACTCTCCGCTGATCTACGTGTTTTGTTTTCATTAATGCCTGGATGGGGCTTATACATGAATATTTTATATATGTATGATACTGAACTATGATTACAATCATAAATACTCTATCGCATTTAACATTATTATAATAAGTATTGTATGAACTGCAACAAGCATTATATCGACCAAAGTGGGCGTCCCCTTCGAATCAGAATCCAAGAACACAAATCAACCGTGAAAAGACACGATATGCATTCTTTAGTATCAACGCATATAGACAATTATGGTCATCAATTGGATTGGGATAATGTCAAAATCTTAGACAGAGGAAACACTAAAAGTGCAGTCAGGGAATTCCTAGAAGCCTGGTACTCAAACGAAAATGCAATTAACAAGCACGCTGATATAGACGAAATATACCAACTAATAAAAATTAAATCAGGTGACCAGGAAGATTAAAATCCAAGTCAATAGAAAATGGTCAATACATATGCAAATATGGTTACTAGGAGAGGCAATTATATCACCGCTCATGAAGAAATTTAAATCATTTCACTTTATGCTAAATATTGCGCTGAAAGGGGATGTTGTCCAGCAGGGGGACGACGAAAGCTTCGCAACTAAACCAACCACTTCAAAGAACACCATTAATTGTAAGTATTCACATATTTTTGCTTAAATTTCCTCACGTGTTACTATTCACATTATTCGCTTTGGTCTCGGGTGGAACGGCAGCACGTCTTCATCCCATTCTGTTCTCTTCAGTATCCTTGAGCTGGCTTCACGTTTTCCCATAAGCTCTCGTCTTCTCCTCACACTATCTCATCCACGTCAACACCGAGTCCACACATATCTTGTCGTTTTTTGCGATTCGGGTTCCACTTGACAGCCTGGCGCGTGATGTTACTAAGCGGTCTTCTCAGAGTGTTCCTGGTCTATTTTCACTTCCGATGGCATATTTGTTGTGCAGTGGATTCATGGTAGTTTCTCTGCCAGAGTTACCTTTGTACTAATCCTTTCTGATGTATGCAGTGAAGGCAGGTGATATATAGTTTATTAAAAATCCTACCTGTATACGATTGTACAGCCTGATAATGAATTTGTCGGGAAGAATCACTTCGTGTTGAATATTGTCTTCTATAGTTCAGATGGATTGGCCATACTCTGAGGAATCAAGCCATCAAGTGAGTGACATCACTAGACAAGCCATTGGTCGAGTGGAATCCGGTGGAAAGGGAAGCGGCGGCGAGTTGGTCGTCAGTGGAAGGGTGAGGGTGACTTGGAGGAGGTGATATGAAGAGGAGATGAAGGAGTGTGGGCAGACTTGGAGCCAGGTGAAGACTCTATCAGAGAACGGAACGCAATGGAGACGCACGGCTGAAGCCCTATATTCTTTTAGGAATTAAAGGAAACAATAAAAATAATAATAGTTCAATCATCCTAATTCATTAATTAGCTAAATAATCCCTTCTGCTTATTACAATCGTATAAATACCTCGCGTTAATGACAGTGATTTTCTACTAGAGTTGTTCTTTTTGTTAACATACGTTTTAATGTCATGTTAGACAGCATAATCAGCGCAACATACTTAAGTATAATGATTTGTTTATGTATATATATATATATAAGTATAGTAAAAGCTAAGGAACCATTTATACATGAAATACATATTTCTTTTTTACCTGAAAAGTGAGTAGATGGAATAGGCAATGGTCGTATATACTTTTTCACCAAATTCCGATCTTTCAATGTACATGCACATGTTGCACTTGCTGGAAATGTCAATGGTCTAACAATTCGACATTCACGACTAACTGTATCAAAACATTCCACCAGATCCAATATACCAGCCTCTGGTTCATCTGACCATCCACCTAATATGTAAATTTCATCATTGACAACAGTTGATGACAGATTACTCTTACGCCGATTCATTTGTCCAACAATCTCCCATCTACTCTCAATTGGATCATATCGTTCAATTGTTCTCAATCGGCTGTTTCCATCATTTCCACCAATAGCATAAAGGTAACCATTATGTTGAGCAAGGGATATTCCACCGCGAGGTGAATTCATTCGACTAACTAATGTCCACTGGTTTGTTTGTGGTTCATAATATTCAGCCGAGTCATGATATCGTCTACCTTCAAACCCGCCAGCAACATAAACTTTCCCGCCCAGCTCTGCTGCTGCTGCATCACTACGTACACGATTCATTGATGCTATTGTCTGCCATAGATTTTCATGCAACGTGTAACGTTCTGCTGAGTCCAAGCGGCCTTGATTTTCACCATTATGACCGCCCAATGCGTAGATATGATTGTCGGCATACGCAACGCTTACATAATATCGTTTCTCATACATGCAGCTGATTTCATACCTGAAAAGAAATGATTGTTTTTTTACAAAAATAAAGAAAATTATTCAAAAAAAATATAAATATTTCCCTCTGATATCATCAATTGCATATAGAACTAGTCTTTTTTGAAAAAATGTCAGTTCGTCAATGTTTGATGCTCGAATTTTGTTTATTTACTTGATCACTGTAGCAACGATTTTTAATATATTTATCCAACGCCAATCACCATCAATAGGAGGGATTTGAAAGAAGTTACTTCATTCACTTATCTAGGGAGGGAGCATTGTCTCAACTACACGAGGAACGGCCGAAGATGTCAAATCGAGAATCGCGAAGGCGAGAACACATTCATCAACCTGAAACCAACCAATCTGGAAATCTTCCGCTGTCACTCAACTCAGCCTGCATCAACAACAAAATGATTCGGATTTTCAATACAAACGTCAAGTCAGTCAGTCAGTCAGTTCTTCTATACGGATGGATCAGAAAGTTGGCGGCGGGTCACAAAGAATATTTCCAACAGCCTGTTGCACACCTTTATCAACAACAACTGTCTTCGCTGGCTCTATACTGAAGATCAGATGGGCGGAAAGAACAAGAACCAACAAGAAACTATGGGGAGAAACAAAACAAGGACGAATCGCCCAACAAATATGCAGGAGAAAGTGAAGATGGATGGATTGGACACTCGCTGAGGAGGCCGCTGGATGAGTGACATCGCTTGTCAGGCCAGTGCTCGAGTGGAACCCGAAAGGGAAGCGGCGAGTGGTTCGTCGGTGCAAGGGTGACATGGAGGAGATCGTGTGAAGAGGAGTTGAAACAGTATGGACTAACATGGATGGATGCAGGTGAAAAGTACAGCAGAAGATAGAAGCAAGTGGAGACGTGTAGTTGAAGCCCTATGTTTCACTAGGAACCCAAGGGAACAATAATAAATAATAATAATAATAGCAGCGATTTAGAAGTATAGCCTGAAAGACAACCAGTTTTTTTGGGGGGGCTACCGAAACAAATAATAGAATTCTTCCGGTTTGACAAGCAAACCTGAGACTCTGGTTTCTCGCTTCATTCCATAAGTACGACAAAAGACTATTTATTACTTAATACTTCAACCCCTGAGATTCATAGTTCCATATGCAATTCTTTATTGCATAACGTGTTAGTTGCCTAAGAATATTGTATTATGTGTATAACCCGTACTGCTTCTAGCTTTTAACTTTTAACATCTTCTGCTTGAAGCCAACTGGTATACTGGTGGTAACTGAACATAATTCCTTCAAAAACCTTTATTATTTGTGTCCACTGATATAAAGCCAGAAGGTTGGCTACCGTTGCCTTCAGAAGTAGACGCGTTCATGATATATTACTGTAAATGAAAACAAACTAACGTTTGTTGAATTTTTTATTCCTGAATGGTCAACAACAGACGGCTGGCAACGTGATATTGCTATTGACACAAAATCTGTTATGAAATTTCTTAGAGAAGCTGAAGTTTTGCTAAGTTTGATTCTTTTGTATTCACAAATAGTTATTAAAACATCTTTGAACAACAAATTTGGACAAATTATTAATACCAAGTTGCATACAAAGCATTTTGGCGCCAGTCAGAGATATGTGAGCTAAGCATGATAGGTATGTCGAACAATGTTTACATGAAACATATATACTCAAGCATCCTGCAACATAGACAATGCATTCATGCTTAGAGATAATGTCGAACAGCAGTTCTTAATGAAATCAGCTCTACAAAATCGAAATCATATCAAATACAGCTGCCTAGATCAAACAAAGCAAAGTAATTCAAATGAACTGTCGTCAAGATTTGACAGAAGAGTTCTAAAATATTTGGGCGCCGAGTGAGAAGTAGACATTTGTAAAAAATTATATTTGTAAAATCTCAGCGAGATTGAAATCAGTAATTCCAACGTTTCTTGTGTTCGGCAATCTGGTCCGAACTTCTTCAGGGAAATTAATCGAAATTAACATAACAGAGGTTCATACATAAAAGGAACATCACTTGTTTTTAAAAATTTGTCCAATTATGAGTCATTCAAAAAGTATCAACAAGTACAGTAAACAAAATTTTATGAAATTCACCATCGAAAGTTCATATTAAAATATAGAAATGAGGAAGTGAAAAGTGTGAAATTCACCATCGAAAGTTCATATTAAAATATAGAAATGAGGAAGTGAAAAGTGTGAAATTCACCATCGAAAGTTCATATTAAAATATAGAAATGAGGAAGTGAAAAGTGTGAAATTCACCATCGAAAGTTCATATTAAAATATAGAAATGAGGAAGTACACAAACCGAAACCCGACACCGTTGAAAAGAAACCAGTTTTCATCTGTCTAGCGTACAAAGGGGAAGATGTATCTACAAGAACACAAAAAAGAATCACAGGTGCATTGAAAAGAACGTTCCCAGCCGCCAGACTGATCCTACTTCACAACACTGTGTGCTCGTTAACCCAGTCAAAAGTAGATGAGTTCCCTACTCACGTCAACTCCAACTGCATTTACCAATTCACGTGCACCTGCGGTAGCAAGTACATAGGAAGGACTGAGAGGACAGCATCTACTAGATTTTCCGAGCACATTCCTAAAAGTCTCCGTACAAAAGGAAGAAAAGTGTTAACAAGTGCAATCGCCAGACATTTAATCGACACAGGACACACAGTAGAAATCAGCCAAGCCTTCAAAATAATCAATACACAAAGAAACCCACGGCTACTTCGCTTCGCAGAAGCCATTGCTATCAAGAGATTTCGACCAGACCTTTGTATACAGAAAGATAGTGTGATTAATCTTTCACTACCTTGGTAACCCTAACTCTATTTTATTTTATTTTTGTTTTGCCTTTCTGTCAGTATGCCTGTGTGTTTGTCTTGTTACGTAACATTCTATTCAATTTTGACCTTCAAGTTTCTAAATCTACTTAATTGTTTGTGTGTTTAAGTTATAAATGTTACTTCACTATTCACCCCCACCCTCTTAAACTCTCCACCACAAGATGTGTAAATTTACTTTGTTCTCTGCCCCTGACCCTGTAATATGCCTCTAACCAATCTGTGTTGTTTTCCAATAGAAATCTGAACTCTTACCCCTCTTATCCAATTCCACTATATATAATTAGTTGTTTTTTGACACCGAATAATCTGTCTACCTACATCAATTTCTGGAATTATGTTCCTTATGCCTTCTATCTATAACCCAAAGTATTTATGAAAAAGTATGTTCCACAACTTTCTTGAAACCTATAATTTGATTTTGTTTAGGATGTATGCAGTTGAGGAGAATCCACGAAATAAAACGAGCTCGTATTATCCTGCAAATATGTTCGTTCTTTCTCTCTTCAAACTAATAAAGGGAACCGGTTGCATGAAATTTCTGAAACGACGTCTCCCTAGGAAATCAATCAAGTCACTGAATCAATTAGTGACGTTACGTTGCAGAATAGTGAGAGAAGCCTGCAAGATTAAATTCTACGAAGAGTGTCTAGAGATAGGCTGTTTTCCACGCCAATTTCTGAAACTCATCAGATCGACCAAACTACCTCCAACTTTAAAGAACCTGCGCCGCATCACTAAATCACATATCGACTCATCTCAGAGATACATCACCGCTTTAAGGTCAAATCTAGTGAAATTCAACAGTCTACTGGAAAGCCTTAATTTGGTGTGTCGTATGAAGTTCATCAACTTCATACAAGATTTACAATCACAAACAGCCAACTCATATGGAAAGAAGCTCAGAAAATCTTTAGTAGTTGAACAACTACAAGAAGAATTTCCACAGTGCCCAGAAAAATACATATACAATTTATCAGATGTGAAACTTAATAAAATCGAAACTGAAGCTCTGTCCTTAGGATTTAAGTACCACGTACCAAACCCGTTTATAAACAGAATCAATACAGAAACGCAGTTTGAGTATTTATACAGTCAACTTTCCGACCTTAAACCCATAGACGAGGATAAAAGAGTCTGGTTTAAGTCCAAAATGATCGATATTGCAGAACAATATCAGATCTCTCCTCCAGCACACTCAAAATTATTTACTAAAAAAAAAATTTTATGAGCTGTGATCAAAATTTGACCTCGGACTTACAAACATTGGTCTACCTTTGTTAAACACATTAAACAGAGTGTGCATGTGTGTGTGGGTAAACACTTGTAAAACATTTCTTAACGTCTCCATAAGAAGACATGGACAGTCGAGAATTTTGACCAAGTATTAATAATTAGTGATACATATCCATTTTTATTTATTAAGAAGGATTTCCTATGCATCAGCTAACATCACGCCTTCATGTCTGTTCACACTGTTAGTATATCTAGAATTTTATGATTAGACGTATTTTCAAAATTATGGTGTTTAGGATTGGAGTTTAGTAGAAACACCCTGTCGGACTTATTGCTTTGTCTTCTTTCTGAAGATTGAGCTGCTTTATTCGACCTACTGGAGTTGTCAGGTGACTCGACAGCTACTGATTTAGGATGTGCATTCTGTTGCGGACAACGGAGAGTGAAAACATGATGATTGTGCCAGTTACACAGTTTCTTTGTTAATTTAATTCGATTGCAAAATAATTCAAATGAACTGTCGTCAAGATTTGACAGAATAGTTTAAAATGTTTAACAATGGTAGACCAATATTTGTAAGTCCGAGGTCAAATTTTGATCACAGTTCATAAAATTTGGTTTATTATACTGCTTATTGAATGACTCATGATTGGACAAATTTTTAAAAACAAGTGATGTCCCCCTTTTTATATATAAACCTCTGTTATGTTAATTTCGACTAATTTCCCTGAAGAAGTTCGGACCAGATTGCCGAACACAAGAAACGTTGGAATTACTGATTTCAATCTCGCTGAGATTTTACAAATATAATTTTTTTTACAAAGCAAAGTAACGCTGATTGGAATCAACCAAGCCGCGCAAATAACCACCAGATAAAGCATATGCCATATAATCGCTTATTAACAGGCATGTGAAATGAA